GAGCGTCGAGAGCGCGGACTTTGAGTACATTGCGAGGATGTCCCACGCGAGAGCGAGAGTCCTGCATACACTGTGAGGAAGTCCCGCACGAGAACGCGATTTTGAAATGACGTGTGGGGGAGTATCAGGCGGGAGACGTAGCTGTTGTTACTCGGGGGCCAGGGGGCCATCTTGGCTACCAAGACTTCGCTTGTTTTCAAAACAGGGTTCGAGCCTGGGAGGGGGGCGTCACTTGGAAACATACCATGTGCGCCGAGGGGGGGGGTCAACAATATTTCTTGTTCTGAAGCGAGGATTCAACAACAAGAGCAGCAGCAACAGCAACAGCATCAGCATTTTGTTGCTGCGTGGGGCTCCCCATATGTGCATCTATTAGCATGGACCTGTCCGCCGTGAGTGTCTAGACGCAAGAATTTTCGAACATTTACGGTCTTTGGTATTGACAGTCCGGGAGCGAGTCCAATTGTGAATGCGTTGGAGTGCGAATGAGTCTCAGTAGTACGAGCGCGTCTCTTCGCATGAGTCTGGGGGGACCTCCTCTAACCTCCTGGTGCTCCTTCAGCCTCCTGGGGCCTTGTGAGGCCTCCTGGGGCCTCCTGGAGCCTCCTGGGGCATCCTTGGGCATCCTGGGGAGGATTCGTGCCCCAGGAGAGGCCAACTCTATAGGAACAGACGTACCTAACACACTGCGGATTGGAGCCTCTGGAAACCGGCAATCTATAGGAACACATGAAAACACCAAGGACTCGTGCCCCAGGGGAGGCCCAATCTATAAGAACATACGTAAAACATTTAGGAGTGGATACACAGGAATAGGACAGTCTATAGAAGCATAGTGAAACTTCATGGGTTCGTGCTCCAGGGGATGCCCAATCTATAGGAGCATACGTACAACTCATGGGATTGGAGCCACTCCTGTGGCATTCTGGGGCCTCCTGCTCCTGGGGCCTCGTGGGACCTCCTGGTGCCTTCCGGGGCCTCCTGGTGCCTCCTGGCGCTTCCTGTGGCCTCTTGGGGCTTCTTGTGGCTTCCTGTGGCCTCTTGGGGCATCCTGGAGCCTCCTGAAGCCTTCTCGAGTTTCCCGGGGCCTCCTGGAACCTCTTGGGGCATCCTGTGGCCTCTTGAGTCTTCCTGTGGCCTCCTGATGCCTCCTGGGACCTCCTGTTGCCTCCTGGGGCCTCCTGGAGCCTGCTGGAGCCTCCTGTGGCATCCTGGGGGCCCACGAGTCTGGCCACCAAAACAAGCAAATCGATCGAGACATCCTCAAACTCTGGCCCCACTTGGGGGCGAACATGGGCGCCTCGCTCGAGACATCCTCCAAATCTGCTCCGAAAGCGGAGGATGTTGGGCTTTGAAACAGGCGAATCGCTCGAGACATCCCCGGCAAGTAGGCGCGAGCGGAGGAGTGCAATACACCCTGGCGGCTCCCCCTTGGGGGTGCTGAAGTCCGCGCCTTGCTCGAGACGTCCTCCAACTCTGCTCCGAAAGCGGAGGATGTTGGGCTTGAAACAGGCAAGCCGCTTTGAGACATCCTCGCAATTTTGGCGCGAACGGAAGAGTGCAATACTCCTTGGCGGTTCCCCCTTTGGGGGTGCTGAAACCCGCGCCTCGCCCGAGACATCCTCAGAACTTGCTCCGCCATCATCATCATCATCGTCATCATCATCATCATCATCATCATCATCACCACCACCACCACCACCCATCATCATCATCATCATCATCAGCATCATCATCATCATCATCATCATCATCATCATCATCTTCGACCGCATCATCATGCCATGACATCACATAACACAACACAACATGCCATACCACACCCACCACCACCATCATAAGATAACACAGCCTAGCACGCCATGCCATACCATAACCTCGCACACCATGCCATACCATCAACTAACATATAATACCATGACGTAGCATAATATAACATACCATAACATATCATGATGAGGAAGAGGAGGAAGAGGGAAGAGGTGGATGGGTAGTCACAATAACCACATCCTGTGGATATTTGGAACACCAATAACCCCATTGTAGGATATGGGGAACAAAGCACTACCAAAACAAACACCACCAACAACAGCAACACCACTGATCATTGTTGTATTGTTCGCTCTTATATGCGTGCGTGTCAATCAACATGTGTTTCCCCAGGCCCTGGATACCCGTTTCCTTCGTCTTCGATCGTTTTAATTAGGGGGGTCTCCGTCTTCCCCGTCACGTGCAATTGACGCAGCCTTGAACGGAACAGGGGCCACTGAGGGCTGCAAAAAGGCCAGGGAGTGCCGCGAGAGGGCCATGAACATTCACACTGGGGCCGCGAAGGTCCGTGAGGGCGCCACGAGGGGCCACCGCGGGGCCACGAGCAGCATCGATGGGGCTCGGATGACGGAGCTGCGAGAGACATCGGGGAGGCCACGCAGGCAGCGGCGGGGCCTTCGGATCCGGCCTGCGGTATGGCGTGGGGCAGCGAGGGGCATCGGAACGGGCAGAAAGCAGCGATGGGGGCGACTGCGGGTCTTACTGGGCGGGTCAGGCGGGCGGGCCCTGGCGGGCGGGTCGAGCGGGCGGGTCGTGAATGCACGAGTTGTGCAAAAGTCGCCAGGAGGTCTCGGGCGAGAGCGAGATTCCGAAGTACATGACGAGGAAGTCCAAAGGCGAGTGCGCAACGCCTGCCTGCATGACGAGAGCGCGGCGCTCTGGTAAACTGCGAGAAAGACTGCAAGTCTGGAGGTCTCAGGTGAGAGCGCGATTCTGGAGTACGCTGTAAGGAAGTGTCAAGCCGGAGCGGGCGGGGCCATACACTGTGAGGAAGTATCAGGCGTGAGCCGTTGTTGTTCTAGTTCGGCGTCCAGGGGGCCAATCTGAGCTTCACGACTTTCCTTAAAAGCAAGGTACGAGAGGCCTGGGAGGGGAACTTCAATTGAATAGATTCAATATGCGCTGGAGGTGGGGCAAGCATGTGTTTCCCAATAGTAGGAGTTCAACAACCACAACAACAATCCATTTAAAGACCGTTCGCTCTTACCTTATTGCGTGCAGTTAAACACGTGTGTCCCACCTTGGATACCCGGGATCAGCCAAGCGCAAGCCGCTTGCTCAAGTGCCGCGCCCTCTGTATCGCGGGGATCGTAGGGGGTCTTAAAACCAAGAGGCGTGAGCCAGAAACAGGCAATCCGCCCGAGACATCCCAGCGATCTGGACGCGAACGCGCTTGCTCACCCCCCATTGGCAGCTCATCCTTGGGGCTCAGTCGGGCCTGTCCCTCTACAGGAGGAATATTCCATAATAGTCAAAACGCAGTTGGGGGACGATGATTCGACCATTGTTTTGACCAGTGTTGAGTCTGTTTGGATGTTCTCGTATCTTTCGTCCAAGATACCCCTGCAGGGGGACATGCCCGACCGAACCTTTGACCAGTGTTGAGTGTTGAGTATTTCTGGATGTTCTAGTATTTCTGGATGTTCTAGCATTCTTGACCCAAGCCCCCCCCTGTAGGGGGACATGCCCGACCGAACCCTTGGGGTGGCCAGGTGCTTCGCCTGCTGCATCGCGGCGATCACGGGGCCCTCGGGCGAGAGAACCCCGGGGGGCCTGCCGCAGGCAGCCGCACCAGACGTCCCCCAGGAAGCGAGGGGGGCCGTGCACATCACCCTTTTGGCGGCTCCGCTCTGTTGGCGTGCGCAGGTGTTTCGGGATAGGGAACAGGGGGGATAGGGGGGGATAGGGGGATAGGGAAAGGGGGGGACAGGGAATAGGGGAAGGGAAAGGGAAAGGGAAAGGGCTAGGGGGGGATACGGAAGGGGGGAATAGGGAGAGGTGCCGGACGAAAGGGGGGGTAGGGAAAGGGGGGGGTGCGAACTCTGCTGCATGTGCAGCTGGCTTCGGCCCCACCGAGGGGCCCACTCCTCGATACGTAGCCGCCTCCGGCGCCGGGAGGCGCCGGGAAAGCCAGTTGCGTAAACTGGTTCTCAAATACCTCCCTTTTCCCTGACCTTCCAGAGAGCTATTTTTTAGCACGGGAGGCCTAAAAACCTAAACAACTAAGCGAAACAGCCTAAAACCACGACGTAGAATAGCTCTGGGGTAGGTTTTTAAGTCGCGTGCTATTTTTTAGCCCTCCTGGGAGGTCAGGGTTGCTATCCCCCCTGTTCGCCCGGCCCGTGTGTTGCGCTTGCTTCATCGCGGTGGTCATGGGGCTCTACAGAGGGTCCCGTGGTCCGTGGCCAGGAGCAGGGAGGCCGCTCGAGGCATTCCCACACCGTGGGCGCGAGTAGGTCCGCGTGACACCCCTCGGCGGCCCTTCCTTGGGGTGCCGAAGTGCCACGCCTGCAGCAGCGGTGATCCTGAGCGGATTGAGTATGAATCGGTCGGGGTGCGACGGAATCGGGTTGCAGTGTGTGTCTGGGTGTCAAAGGGTGTGCTTACGCGTGTCGACCATGGGACTGGATTTGGGTGGATCTCAGTGTGAGCGCGTCTGAAAAATGAGTGTGTCTAATCGTGAGTGGGTTTGAGTGTCAGTGAATCTGAATATGGGTGAGATGAGTATGAATTCAAGTATGAATTCAGAGTCTGAGTGAGACTGTGTGAGAGCTGAGCGTGCGTTCAGAGCATGAGCGAGTCTGGTTGTGAGTACGTTTGAGTGTTAGTGAATCTGAGTATGGATGCGTCTGAGTGTGACTGAGTCTGAGTATGAGCGTGGTCTGAGTGTAGTTGGGGAGAGCGAGGAGGGAAAGTGAGTGAGGAGGCGGAGGCGTCACACTAATAATAAGAACCCAACACTCAGGATACGGAGGATAAGTGGAAACGCTGTCTCGGCCCAATCTGTATCCAAGAGTGCTGCGGCGTAGTATGGCGTAACCAGAAGAGGTCGGACGACCGCTGCCATGTTGGCTCAAGTTGGAGCTCAAGCGCATTCCGGTCGAGTGATAGTTGTGCTTGCGCTTTGATCTACTGAATTTTACCGACAAGTCGCGTACTCTTTGCACACAATGGACGCATTCACGAGGCGTGGCTCATTTCAGTGCGTCCACAGTGACGATTTGTTCGAGACCTACCTGAACCCTCACCCACTGGATCAACTATCAGGTGACATGTGTACGTCGTTGCCTAGCATGGGCTCACTGCCCACCACGCGGCCGGTCACCACGCAGACGCTGCCGCTTTGGCAGGAAGACCACCTTATTTTGCAGTCGAGCGTCAGCGAGTCATGGAAGACTCTTGACGAGTTCGACCTCCCGCGCGAGCGTCGGCGGGCAGAAGACACAAGCAGCCACCCATCGGAACGCGCGCAGGATTCAGCCTGGTTGGGCCCTGGCGGCGCCCCCTCGGCGACCTACGCGCAGCTGTCATCTCAGCCTGGAGGCGTTCCGCTGCTCCACGGCCAGCCGCTGCCGCGCAGGCAGGAAGGCCACCCCACTCTGCAGCCGAGCGGCCGCGAGCCCTGGAAGGCCGCCGGCGAGCTCGACCGCCCGCGCGGGGGCGCTCTGCTGCCGACGACCGCGGGCGCTCCGCCGAGCCCTCGCGCTGCGGGGGCGGCGCCGGGCGGGTCGCCGACCCGGCCGACCGGCAGGCCGCCGCGCGCCGCCGCCGAGGCGGGGCTCGCCACGGGCCCCCCGGGGCGAGCCGGGCCGCGCGGCGCGGGCGGGGCGGAGCGGCCCCGGCGGGCGGGCGGGGGCCTCCCGCGGCACGCGCCCGCGGCACGCCCGCGGTCGCCGGCAGCCGCGCGGGCCCGGCGCCTGCAGCACGAGCAGCTGCTGGCCGAGGTGCAGCAGGAGCTGGCCACGCGCAGAAGGGGGGCAGGTCACCACCCACCAAGCCACCCCAGCCCAGCCCGAAGGCTCAGATTTACCCTCGATTTCCAGCGGAGGGGGGGGGGTCGGGAAACATCGAAAAAACTGGGTGTGGAACCCTTACCCCCCCCAACCCGAAATTCGGGTCTTCGGGTTGGGTTGGGGTGGTCTGGTAGGTAGTCAGTAGGGGGAGGGGGGAAGGCTTCTCAGAAGCACCCCTGCTTCTTAGAGGGCGCGGGCCTTCTTTGTATAATGTGAGGCCGGCGCCTTCTGAGAAGCAGCCTCCTTCTAAGAAGCCTTCCCCCCTACCCCTACCCCCTTGTGCGCGCCGCCAAAGGAGGCTCGGGAGGTCAGGCGGAGTATCCGCGAGCAGACGGCCCTCCTGGAGGAGCTCGAGCTTCCGCAGGGCGAGCGCGTTGACAGCGTGCCAGCAGCTGCCGGGGAGGCAGCGCCCGCCGCCCCGGGCGTTCCAGGAGCCACCACGCTCATGATCAGCAACATCCCCATGGCGATGTCGCAGAGTGACCTGCTGGACCTCATCGACAAGACCGGCTTCGCGAGCCGCTACGACTACGCCTACATGCCGGCGACTTTCGAAACTGGGACCACCAAGGGGATCGCGTTTGTAAATTTTGCCACCTCGAGCGACGCCCGCGAGTTCTCCATCTTGTGGCACAAATCGCGGCTGACTGGAGTTGATGGCGCTGGAACCAAAGGGTCCGTGATCGAGGTCAGTGCGTCGGCGACGCAGGGTTATTCGGAGAACGCCAGGATGTGGAAGGCGAGCCGGCTGCGCCGCATTAAGAATCCCAGGTTCCACCCCTTCATCGCCCTGAGGCCAGCTGATCATTGAACACGCGCTTGACAGTTTCACGGGATGGGCGGGATGAGGATGGTACAAGAGGAACAGGAGGAGGAGGAGGAGGAGGAGGAGGAGGAGGAGGAGGAGGACGAAGAGGTTGGGGAGGAGGAGGAGGAGGAGCAGGAGAAGGAGGAGGGGGAGGAGGAGGAGGAGGAGGAGGAGGAGGAGGAGGAGCAGGAGGAGGAGGAGGGGGAGGGGGGTCGTGTGGAAGACCCGTGTGGGGGACGGGCGGGTGGGGACGGCCGGGCACCTCGCCACCGCGAGGGTGCGAGGAGGAGAGGGGGTATGAGTATGACCATGTGACAAAGTCAGAGAGAGGGGGTGGAGGGGGAGGGGGAGGAGGAGGAGGAGGAGGAGGAGGAGGAGGAGGAGGAGGAGGAGGAGGAGGAGGAGGAGGAGGAGGAGGAGGAGGAGAAGGAGGATCGATCGATCGAGCCGTGGGGACGAGGTTCGCTGCCGTGTGCCAGTGGGCAGCTTCATAAAATTACTGTCGGGTCGTCCTAGCTGTGTTCGCTTCGTACGCTGGGTGAGCAGGCGCCAATCAGCGCTGGGGCCCGACCCGCACCAGAAGCCCCACGCAGAGGCAGAAGGGCGGGGTGGCACCCGCCCCTTGCGGTCAACCTACCTCGCCTGCTGTCCCTTGTTTTTACCTTGGGCTCGTCCCCCCTTGCCTCGACCTTTTTGTTTGGGTTCTGGCGGGGGGGAGGGCGGTGCATCAAAAAGTAGTCTGGAAAACCTTGGCCTCTGAACTGGAAGATCTCGGGGGCGTTCTGAGGAGGAGGATGAGTGATGCTACCTCTGGCCGCGAGATCTCTGAATCGCACGCTGGTCTCAAAAACTCTGGGCACTGTGCAGGGCAGCCTCTCACTTTGGATTTGGCGTAAGCCTATCTGATGCTGGCCCTCTCCATCTCCTCTCAGCCGTTAACCAGGCGGCCCAGCTCCCTCTCCAGAGCCCCGCGCGGTGCCGTTCCCACTCTTCGTGTTGCTCCCTCCTTCTTCAGCTGGTTGATCAGAATCGTCGCGATCTGATGGTCGTTCGGGTTGAACGTGAATTGGAATCTGCATTTCTCTTTGCCCTGTCCGTCCTTGCCCCTGTTGCGCCTGACGCGGAATACTGGAACTGAATCTCCAATGACTTCGGCCGCTCCCCCCAGGATTTTGTCGCGGTAGTACTGTTCCAGGACCGTTCTGGCCGCGCCCTCCTCGAGCGCCTTGCCCATGTACGCGCACACCTCGGTCCACACCTTCACATGCGGGCTCCCCAGGGCCGCGGTGTCTACTTGCTCTCCGTTCTTGGCTCGCTGGTTCAGGTCCTGCGCCATGTCGTTGTATGCCTTGCCCGCGTCGAGCACCGAGGAAGCGATACTGGCCTCCGTGCTTATCTCCCATGTCTGTAGCACTGCAGCGGCTAGTTCGGCTTGCTCTCGTGCGAGTGTGCGGGTCAGCCTGGCCGTCAAGTCGGTCATCTGTTGTTGTTGTCCTGCGGGGGCTGGTGCTCCTCCTCCTCGCTGTGCTTGTCCCTGGCGTCCGCGGCTGCGGTCTGGACGGCCTCCCGCTGGTCTCGGTAGCGTTTGCCCTCCAGGTCGTTCGTCGAATAGCGACATCTCTGTCTGGTTGAAGTAGCTTCCTCGGTATGAGTGTGAGGAGATGTATTTGGCAGCTGTGTTTGTCCAAGGCAAAATGACTACGTATCGGGCATTTCGGATCGAGAGGTGTCGGCTGGTACTGATTCTTTGTGGTGTCGCGATTACATCCTCCCCTGATCATGCTGCGCGCTAGATGTTTCCAGGCCGTGCCCTTGCTAGTAAACACCTGCCCGCAATTGATGCACTCGTTGTTACTCGTCAAGACTGCTGCTAGGTTGTGTACATGGTGAGCTCGTACGATATGGCTGTGCAGTGCCTTCTTGCTTGCGAATAACATGCCACATACCGTCTGATTGGCGATCTGTCCGCGGAGGCTGTTGTCGGACATATCGTCGGAGTTGTGTAGTTCGCATTTCCATACCTTTTGTTCGTCCAACGCTATGTGTTCTCGTTGTTCATCGTTATGGTCATGCTGTACGGGAGGTGCTGAAACGGTTAGCTTAGCTGCTCGGACTTCCCGTGGATCCAGAAATACGAGTTGTTCTCTAATGTCTAGCGTGAAGAGCTTGCCTATCGTTACGTTCTTGCCCTCTCCCAAGACGTTCTGGAAACCTTCCGAAACGTCGCAGGCGTGCTGGATGTCCTCAAGGAACCTCTGGGCCCAGGGGCTGGTGTCGCTATGGATCGCGTCACAGTTCGCATCGTTGTTCTCGAACTCGACTCGGCCGAAGAGCGCAACTATCAACTGTTTGTGGTTGTTAGGGAAGCGGAGGATACTTTTTAGCCAGCTGACTCTCCTCACCAGTGCTTCTTCCGCTGGCGGCAGTATTTGCCAATGGCGAAAGACTTCCAAGGTACTCATGCTCCTCACGTTCCCGTCCCCGTGGTACGTCGTGGCTCTGCCCCTCATCGCTCGTCTGAGTAGTGCTCCCATTGCGCTCTGTAGCTGTCGGTATTCCTTGGCTGTCGACAGGAAGCACTCGATGCACGAGAGGCCAGTGTTAATGACTTGGCAGAGTAGTACTGCTCTTTCCCATCTGTAGGGTATGTTGGCCTTGCTCCAGAACGCCCCGCACCCGTAGTAGCTCTTCTTCATGGCTGCGATGCGCTTGGCGAGTTCCGCTCCGTAGTTCTGGTGGGGGCTGACCTGTGGTCCGAGATATCGTGCATGATGTAGTACTTTTCCTGGCATCTCGCACTAGTTGTTGCTCTTGAGGTCCCTGTGCGCCTTCGTCGAGCCTTGGCTCTGGAAACTCACTAGGTTCTCCTGCTTGTCCTGGTTGTGCCTCATCCCGATCTTGTCAAGCCTCTCGTTCAGCGCTCTGTCCACGATGTGGGCCTGACGTACGAGATCTCGTGCGTCCGCCTGCCGTACTAGGATGATCTTGCGCAGGTCGTCCGCGTACTTGGTGAGTCCAAGGTAAACTGGATGCTGGAATAGTTCGCTGCTTCCGTACAGTAGGTGGTCGTGTGGGAGTTGTTCCTTGCAGTCGTGCGCCCATTGTTGCACACTTGGTGCGAAGCTGGCGACGAAATGTTGGACCATGTACGGGTCGCCAATCAGTCCTCCGCAGTGTGGTTTGATACATACGCCTCTTGGTTGGTCTCGGCATGGTATGTTGAACGTCGCTCGCTTATATCTCTGCTGGCCTAGCTCTTCCATGTCCTCTGGCATGATTTTTTTTGTTGGCCCCGTCCATCTCGTGCCAGGCGCAGCTCGCGAACGCGTTGCTCATGTCCTTCATCGACGATGCGAAGTTCCACCCTGCCTGTCTCGCTCGGTACTCCACCACCGCCATGGTCAGTATAGCTCCTTCTCGGCGTCGTCCTTGGATGAAGCCGTAGTCCTGGTCGGTATGTGTTCTGGTTCGTTTCCTCTTGAGGCATCCCGTGTAGTATGCCTTGCCGATGGGGTCCATGATGTGGTAGATCCTTTTTCCTGCTGGCCCAGGCTTGCGGTTCTTCGTTACTGCCGTCGCTGCGCTCTGATGCCATCTGATTGGGGTGGTATTGCCAATTCGTATTGCCGCCAGTGATGCTCTGAAAAGCTCGGTGTACTGTTCTGGTTCTTGTTCTTCGCGTGGTGCTCCAAGTCCTTGGCGCTCTTGCCGTTCCTGTTCTGCTGGGCACAATATGAGTCGCCACAGTTCCGAGGGGGCCGAAGTAGGCGGTGCTGCTCGTCGTAGTTTCGCCTTCTTGATGCTCTTGATCGTGTACTCCAGACCCTGGTCCACTTTCTCCTCCAGGTCGTTCTCGTAGTAGTCCTGTGGCTCTGCAGCGTTGGGGATCTGTTCTAGCTCCTCTTCGTTCTGTTCCGTGCCCTCCATGCCTCCGATCCCGCTTGGGAGCTCCCAGAACTCGATCCACTCCTGCTTGCTCGGGTTGGTCGTCACGCTTGTCCAGTAGTCTCGTTTCTTGGGCCCGTAGCGGCCTCTTGCTATCAGTCTAGATAGTCGGCGCACTCTTGCTAGGTCTCGTTGTTTCCATGCCTCGTACAATTCTTCGACTCGCGCATCCGTCTTGATCTGGTGCTCCTGCTTACGTAGTCTGGCGCAGTGCTTGGTGATGTTGTGGAGTTCATCTTCTAGTTCTCGCATTTCTCGTTCGTATTCCTCTTGCCGTTGTTCTTCTGTGTCGTCGTAGGGGTTGTCAAGCTGGTGTGTGTAGTCGTGCTGGATGTTCGCGTTGTAAATGATCTCCGTGTCCTCTATGCACAGTATTTCTCCTGTGTCTCGCAGCACTTGGCGTAGATCTCTTCGGCGTCGGAGTAGTGCCATTCGTCGGTCTCTCAGTGCTGCGGATTCTGGGTCTTCGCGTCGTAATGTTTGTCCGTAATGTGGTTTCGCCGCCTCTATGATCATGTGGCTGATGTCCTGGAACAGTTGGTCAATGCCCTTGCTCTGCGCGTCGTAGTCGCCGACCCTGGTCTCCAAGTCGCGCAGGAACTCGTTCCGCCAGTGTCCTTTTATGAAGTGCCTGTACCAGTAAGTCTCTGTCCCATCGGGTGGGCAGGACTTTGCGATGTACTTGTTGCCGTAGCGGAATTCTTAGTGTCACTTGTATTGGTACATGGTCTCGGTGATAGCGGCTCGGTAGGTGTTGCAATCGTGTGCCCATCCTCAAGAGTGGTCCTTGGCTGATCATGTTGTCGCTCAGATCCTGCGGTACCATTCTGTAGTCAATTCAGCTGGCATGTTTTTCTCCGAAGAACGTTGGCCTCCAGGATCCAGTTGTGTTCGTAATCGCCAGCCTGTTGCGTTCAGCGTACTGGCTTGTCCTCTGCCCTGCTCCTCCTGGTAATCGTTCTCTTGATCGTCCTGGTCCAAGCGCTGCCGATTCGGGTTGTTCGTTCTTCGTCGTGATCCCTACCCCGTCATTGAGGTCGCCAGCCGTAATCAGTATT